AATTTGAAAGCTAATCAAACATATTCATGAACATATAAGGACCGCACTAGAAAGTAATTACCAGAAAAGCAACATAAACGGCTTATCAACCTCAAGGATGTCTTTAAGAAAGCATTTCCAAAAAGCTTTTGTCTAATCTCCCATCATGCAACATATTAGCGACCAATCCAATGGTTGAAGCATCTCCAGTAAACTCGCAACTCCTCATTTCTCTGATGAGTTTAGATGATGCTGCTTTGTCACCATCTCTAAGATGCGCTCTAATAAGCGTATTATAAGTACCACTATCTGGAAGAGGCCCATCTTCTTTCATTTTTTTTAGCAACGCATAAGCTTCCTGGTTTAAACCTTTCCTACACAAGCCTGAGATCATTGTATTGTATGTTACAACATTAGGCTTCACTCCTTTAAGGCTGAGGCTACAAAATAGATCCCACCCATCTTCCACCTTCCCAGCCTTGCACATCCCTTCAATCATAATATTATATGTGAATATGTCAAGTTCCATTTCACTCTTCTGCAAACACTCAAATACCACAAATGCTTTCTCTAGCCTCCCGTTATTACAAAGTCCATCTAACAAAATGTTGTAGGTCCAAAGATCGGGAGAGACACCAAGAGAATCCATTTGACTAAAAGTTTCTTGAGCCATATCACAATCTCCAGCTTGAAATAACCCTTGTATAAGAGTGTTGTAAGTGACTGTATCGCCAACCAATCCTTTTTGAGACATCTCGCGGAAGAGTTCCATACCTTCCTCTACTCTCTTAGCCTTACAAAATCCCTTTATAAGCGTATTATAAGTCACTACATTTGGGAAACAGCCCTTGGTAACCATAAACTCAAACATCTGCTTGGCCTCGTCTAGACGATCGTGCATACAAAACCCGTTGATCAATGAATTGTAAGTGACAATACTAGGAGCTATCGACCTTCTGATCATCTCCTTGTACAATTTCTCAGCCTCTAAAAGCTTTCCCTCCTTCACAAACGCATCGATCAATGCGCTGAAGGTGACAACATTGGGGTTGATTTTCTTCTCAATCATATCACTCAGTAGTCGAGAGGCATCACTCCATCTTCCGTAATTACAAAGGCAGCTTATGAGGGAGTTATAGGTAAAAATATCTGGTCTAATTCCTTTGTTCTCCATTTCATTGAATAGGTTGCGTGCATCATTCATATGTTTGTATTTGCAAAGACCATCAATGACTGTGCTGTAGATTACAACATCCGGCTCTATTTTCCCTTTCTCCATCTTTTTGAGAATACTTAAAGCCAAATCAGTATCACCTCTTTTACAGATTCCATTAACAACTGCACCGTATGTAACCAAATCTGGTTGGCACCCTTTCGCAACCATCCGATCAACTAAAGCCACAGCTTCGGAAGCTTTGTTGTGGAGAAATAGTCCATGGATTAGAGTTGTAAATGTCACTGTATTGGGTTTATATCCCATTTCCACCATTTGATCAACCAAAGCTACAGCATCAGAAATCCTCTTACTATGACAGAATCCATGGAGTATCGAGTTAAGCGTGACAATGCTGGGCTCATAGCCGAGTTTCATCATCTTCCCAAGAACAGCTAAAGCAAGAGAGATTTGAGAGCGTCGACAGAAACAGTTGATCAAAATATTGTATGAGTAGAGATCATATGAAATCCCCAGATTTTGCATCCGCTCGCCGAGAGAGATGACAACATCAAACTTCTTCATCTTAGCAATGGCACTCAACAATTTACTGAAATCAACAATGGAAGGTAAAGGACGAGACTTTACCATTTCACCGAACAAATCAACAGCATCGTCTAACCTAATATCACTCAGCCCATTTCTGAGTATCTCTCTGTAATCATAACTACTCTTACCAGCAAAAGCTCTTCTCTGGCAAAGGGAAAAAGAGGGAGGAAAAGTTGCAGCATTACCTCTCACCAGAAGACTCCGATGAACAAATCTCTTCCCTATAGATGATATCTTTGCAAGCATTCTCTCGATTTGGCTTCTCAATTTCTCTGTAAAATTCAACAAAACCCTAAACGAAACACTGAGACTGTGAAAGAATCTCGAGCTCTGCAAATATGGAAGATGGAGACAGGAGAAGAAGCGTAGGAGGAGGACTTGGGGATTTTTGCTTAATAACGGAACAGATGTGGTTCGTGAAGAGCTTACGTGTCCGGCTGATTTAGTAAACCAAAACTGTTATCCAACCCAAATTAAATTAAAATTGGAACCGGAATAAAGTATGGTTTAGGTTGGTTTAACAAAATGTTAGATCCGGTTAAGCTTAAAAGTGTATTATTAGAAAAGAAATCAGAAAATTTCTTCATCTCCGATTTTAAAATTTAACCTCGATTCCTTCCTAGCAATAAGTCTGTTTTCGCTTAGGGATCTCGGTTTGTTTTACACTAATAATCTCCTTTACATGATATATTCTTCTATATACAATGCCCGAAATTGAGAAAGGTGAAAAAAATGAATTGCAACAAAACAAGATATGTTTCAGGAAGCTTAGACACAACAGCTATACATATCTATATCCACATGTAACATGAGAACATAATGACTGTATTTAGAAGTAACTAATAGAAAAGCAACATGAAAAGCTGATCGACCTCAAGGATGTCTTAAGAAAGCATTTCCAAAAAGCTTTTGTCCAATCTCCCATCATGCAACATATTAGTGACCAAGCCAATGGTTGAAGCATCTCCAGCAAACCTGCAACTCCTCATCTCTTTGATGAGTTCCGCTGATGCTGCTTTGTCACCATCTCTAAGATGCTCCCTTATTAGGGTGTTATAAGTACCACTATTAGGAAGAGGCCCATCTTCTTTCATTTTTTTGAACAAAGCATATGCTTCCTGCTTTAAACCTTTCCTACAGAATCCTGAGATCATTGAAGTGTAGGTTACAACATTAGGCTTCACTCCTTTAAGGCTGAGGCTACAAAATAAATTCCACCCATCTTCCACTTTCCCAGCCTTGCACATCCCTTCAATCATAATACTATATGTGAATATATTAAGTTCCATTTTACTCTTTTGCATATACCCGAATACCACCAATGCTTTCTCTAGCTTCCCATTATTACAGAGTCCATCTAACAGAAAGTTGTATGTCATGAGATTGCGAGGCACACCATCAGAAACCATCTCTTTGAATAGTTCTTGAGCCATATCACAATCTCCAGATTGAAATAACCCCTGGATAAGAGTGGTGTAAGTGACTGTATCGCCAACCCATCCTCTCTGTGACATCTCGCGGAAGAGTTCCATACCTTCCTCTACTCTCTTAGCCTTACAAAATCCCCTTATAAGCGTATTATAAGTCACTACATTTGGGAAACAGCCCTTGCTAACCATAAACTCAAACATCTGCTTGGCCTCGTCTAGACGATCGTGCATACAAAACCCGTTGATCAAAGAACTGTAAGTGAAGATATCAGGATCTATAGACCTTTTTCTCATCTCCTCGTACAATTTCTCAGCCTCTATAAGTTTTCCCTCCTTCGCAAATGCATCAATCAATGCATTGAAAGTGACTACATTTGGATTGATCTTCCTCTTAATCATATCACTAAGTAATCGGGAGGCATCGCTCCATCTTCCGTAATTACAAAGGCAACTAATGAGGGAGTTGTAGGTAACAACATCTGGTTTGATTCCTTTGTTCTCCATTTCATTGAATAGGTTGCGTGCATCATTCACATGTTTGTATTTGCAAAGAGCATCGATGACTGTGCTGTAGATTACAACATCTGGCTCTATTTTTTCTTTCTCCATCTTTTTGAGAATACTTAAAGCCAAATCAGTATCACCTCTTTTACAGATTCCATTAACAACTGCACCGTATGTAACCAAATCTGGTTGGCACCCTTTCGCAACCATTCGGTCAACTAAAGCCACTGCTTCTGAAGCTTTGTTGTGAAGAAAAAGTCCATGGATTAAAGTGTTAAAGGTAACTGTATCAAGTTGATATCCCATTTCCACCATTTGATCAACCAAAGCTACGGCATCAGAAATCCTATTACTATGACAGAATCCATGGAGTATCGAGTTAAGCGTGACTAGATCGGGCTCATAACCGAGTTTAATCATCTTGCCAAGAACAGCTAAAGCAAGAGAGAGTTGAGAGCGTCGGCAAAAACAGTTAATGAAAATACTGTAAGTATAGAGATTATGTGAAATCCCCAAATTTTGCATCTGCTCGCCGAGAGAGATGACAAGATCGAACTTCTTCATCTTAGCAATGGAACTCAACAGTTTACTGAACTCAATAATCGAAGGAAAGGGACGAGATTTCACCATTTCACTGAACAAATCAACAGCATCGTCTAACCTAATATCACTCAGCCCATTTCTAAGTATCTCTCTATAATCATAACTACTCTTACCAGCAAAATCTCGTCTCCAACAAAGGGGAAATGAAGGAGAAACAGTTGCAGCATTACCTCTCACCACAAGACTCCGATGAACAAATCTCTTCCCTGAAGATGCAATCGCAATCGATATCCTCATTTTCTCGATTTGGTTTCTTCTCAATCTCTCTGAATCTCTGATTCGGAAGCAGAAACAGACGAACCACTGAGAGTGAAAAGGCAGAGACAGAGTGAATGCTGAAACCGGTTTAGTAATTTTAATGTTATTTTGAGATAACCGGCCGGTTTGAGTTTTCATACTATATAATTTGTAAAGTTTTGTTGCGTTGTCAAAATAAACCAATTCGGTTTTGTCAGAACAATAGAATATATTTTTTTTTATAACAAACATGTTTATCTCCATCAGAGATTTCCCACAAATCCTTGTTGATCTCACACTATATTAAGATCCAAAATCGACATCTAGTAACCGAAAACCGAGAAAAAAAAACCGCTCAATTGGCCTTTGCGTAAGAGTTTTGATCCCTGAAATTGATGACGGCACTACGGATCATCTCCTCAGCATGTGGCTTCACAAATATACAAGTAGTGTCCAGTTTCAGTACTCGAATTATGAACTTCTGTGAAGCAGGCAACGAATTATTCAAATGTGCAATGAACTGCGCCATGGGAACATCGCTGCAATAAAAGAACACCAAACGATTTGGCATCAACATAAGATAAAAGATACGATTTCGATAGAGTATATTAACAAGAAAGGTAATGTACCATGAGATGAAGACTCCTTTGATTGAGTTAACCATTGAATCTTGAAGCAAAGAAACCTGAAACAAGAACATAACAAATCTTGAATCACCAAAACTGCACATAACATTTTTTATCAAAAAGAAGACTCGAGACATTTCGAAATTCAGCTATAGGAATCAAATCAAAAGCTCGGTTTACGTGTGCTTTATCGACAAACTGATCGTAGATCAAACGCTTTATCGACAAACAGATGGTAGATCAAACTAACAATGTAGTTTAAACATTGAAGCAGAGAAGAAACTGAAACCATAGTGTATTCAAGAACAGAACTAAAACTGCAGTTAACATACGTTTATCCATTCAGAACAACACTCACAAATTTTCAAAATTCAGTCAACGCTCGATAACTAATTAACACTAATCATAGCTCAAATTAACAACAATTTACACTACTAATTAACATTGTGCTTAATCCTGATTTCGATTCACTTTTTTTTTACTCTATTATATAAACCCTAATGCTATAGTCTTCTTAATTCACTTAAGAAACAATAGAACATATGCGAAGAAGATTCATTACGAGTAAGAATCTTTCAAAATTCACATTAAATTCACCCAAAGATCCATGTTTTTCCACAGATTCCACACGAAACTTTGAAAAATCAAAAGCGTGATCGAGATTTGGGTTTTCTTTTCCAGTCGTCAAAACATTATTTAGGGTTTTAAAGAGAGATTCAAAATCCAACAACGATCTTCAAATATCATACAAATTTCGATTCGGAGGATCACAAATCTAGAGAAAGAACTCACCACGATTGATAAAGAAAAATCCTTCTGGCTTTACACAATTGAAGAATTTACCAATTTATTTATATACTAATAAATAATTTTGCAGCTAAAATAAAAAAAGTAAACCTTCTGAATCAGTTAGAGGGTTCCAATTATGGTTAACACTTCACTGCTTCGCTTCACCACAAAGATCCACAATGAAATCTAATGACTATTAAATCTGGCTTACACAAATCTCTAATGCCACAAAACCAGTAATTAACATACAGAAACAAACACCTTCCTTCTCATGCCATTGTATCAAGCGCGGTGTCAGGTAGTAAGAGAGGGGTTTGATCAAACCGTTTGTTGTCGCCTGTCACAGGGATGTATCTTCAAGCGTGGTTCAGTCCTCGTAATCATCCAGCGTTGAATAGATTAACCTGAAAAGAAGTTGCAACATAAGTTTTCACTGTTTTGGTACAATTTTTGGATTGAGCAGAGACAGTGAAAGGTTTAGTTACCAGAAAATGGTGAGAAAGAGAGTGAGGATAATGTAAGCGAGCTTGAAGAGTCGTTTCTTCTTTTCCCAATCAAGCAAGTTAAAGATCTCTGTGACGTCTATCAAATGTTGTTTTCTCGAGTAACTAACAATAGAAAAGAATGATATACTCATTATCAGAATCAGCTTGACATTAGATGTTAAACTAGTTTGTTAAAAATAGAGAGACTCACAGATGGAAATTGTAGTAAAGATAAGGAACACAAAGGAGTGACATGAACCAATGACCCGTAAAGAGGTAGAACACGCATAAAAATCCTTGAAGAATGGATTCTGGTAATACCACAAAGTTTATTCTTGATGCAGAATCGTAAGGGTTGATATAATCAAACTCGAGATCAGCCAAACTAATGAGCTGCAAGAACAAAAATTATATAGATAAGCACCAGCACTTTCGTTACAAATTATGCATATCGTGTACTGCATATCACAAGTAAAGCACAAGAGCAGAGACCTATGATCAAGATTCTCCTACAAAATATCATTACACATAATCTCATTACTCAAAACACTATAGATCAACTCTATAGTTACCAAATCAGAGCTCATTAATCAAGAAACGTTATGAAGTGTAACTCTAATACACATGAGCACACTCCTACAAACTCACAAAGACTTGTTGGATTGATATAAATTGAGAAGATACCATCTAGAGTTTCAATACACAATATCAAGAACCATTTAAAGAATTTAAGAAACGAATTTGTAATTTAACAGATTAACTAGTTATATACAGAAACCCTAAAGTTACTAACGCTTTCTTATAAACGCTTTATGATTGAAAGAACACAAAACACTAAATTTAGTTCAATTCAGTGATCGAATAAGCCTAAACAGAGTTTATACTAATTCAATAGATAGAAAAATTCGATGGAACCAAAGCATAAGTTGTTAGGGTTTTTTTGTTCAAAGTATGAATCAGATCGAACCTGATAGACGATGAGTCCGACAAGAGTGATAAGGATTAAAAACGAAATAATCCATGTCCAAACCTCTCCCATCCCTCTTCCTCCTGGCTCCTACAACAGTTTATTACCTCGGATTGATTTCGTTGTGTTCTTCTTCGATTTTAAGCTTCTGGGTATCAAAGATCCAATGAGGAACAGAGATGAGTTATTGTCGGAAAATCTCAACAGTTCAGTTTCAATCTCTTTGTTCGAGATTCTCTGATCGGAACTAGTGTGGAAGAAGAAGGTACGTTTTGGTTTTTGACCTTTTTGTTATGTTGAACCGTTTAAATCAATTCCCGGTTCCAAACGGTTCTCGTACCGGGTTTTTAAAGCCCATGGGTTAATAAATTAAGCCCAATTAAAAAGAGACTTGTACGTGTTTCAGAAGTTACTTTTTATCTTTCAAATTCTACTGAATGTGGAACCCAGAGTTCCTTCAATCATGTGATTGATAAAATTCAGCTTTTCGATGTGTGTATGTTTATTTTTTTTCTAACAATATTTGTTATAGTTATGTCTCAAAGGAGAATTTATGTACTCCATTATTGCGTTAAAAACAAAAAAAATTACTCCATTTTTTATTGAAATATGAATTTTATTAATCAACAAAGGAGAGTTTATGTACAATGTTTTAAAGAAAACAACTCAAAAATAATTAAATGAAAGAATACAAGTGAATCTCTAGTGGAAACTACGAGCTTGAAAACCATCTTTGAAAAAAAAAAACTCCATTTAATCTTGTGTATTAATCTTGTATTAATGTCTATGCAAGAAAATGATACAAAAATTGTGCTCAATAAGTGGGAATATATGAATATTGCTTACTTCTTTTGCAACTTACCTGGAACCATTAAAGATAATGAATGATACTATTTGCCGTCAAAAAGAATGAAACTATCCAAGTTCATAATAATAAATAACAATAATGTATTCCAAACATGTGCTTTTGTGACTTGTATTTTATGATGTAGTATAATATATAATTATATATTCATCTTTTTGTTGTTTGTATTGATCAAGCAAGCTCTACTCAAAAATATAGTGGAGTGGTTGGCATAGAGAATTCCTAATACAAGCTTGTAAATGAAGCAAATTAATTGTCATCGTAATATTTTATTCTGATGTATTTAATTATCTTTTTATGATTTTAACAGTTTTCTTATTACTGTAAAAATACACGTATGCCGACATAAACAAAAACACAAACACTTATTAGAACAAAAAGTAAATTACATTGCTGTCTTTAACTTAACAAGGGCTAGTTTAGTTTCAAAGGGTCATAAACTTAGGATTTTCGAAGATCTTTTAAGTATGTAATATAATGATTTGTATTAATGTTTATTTTTGAATTTAAATTCGATAACGTATGTTTGTATCAGCTATAAATCAACCAAAAAAATCCACAGTTTGTTAGACCATTAATATCATTGAAACTTTTATGTGACGTATTCAAAATCTAAACTAGTCTGAATTTTCAATAGAAAATAGTTGGTTTCAGATTGTACATATAGTATAACTAAGAAAAATAACTGATTAAACTGTAAAAACGAAATAAAGAATTTGATGTTAGCTTTTGTTACTAAATTTGCTAAATCCAACGTACCTTCGAGATAGTAACGTCAAATTATGAAATCATTGGGTTACTTTGTATAATACCAGGAATAGTAAGTAGTATTAAGTAACCATAGTTTTGTTAAAGTGGGAATAATTTATGGGAGAAATTAAAAAGATTTGTTTGTATACAATGTAACTACCCATGCCTTTGATGTGACTTTTGTAAGGACAAAATCATGCGAGTTACGAGAGTCAAATTTAGTTAGTGTTTCTTGTCTACTTTTACTCTTTTCTTCAGTTTTTAAATTTATGTAATCCTTCTTTATTTGTTTGTTTAGCTAATCCTTCGTTTCTTACAAAAAAGTTAAAACTGTATAGTTTGCATTTTAATACGATTATTAAGTTTCCTATTAAAAGTTTGATGGCGGCACAAAATGAGTTGGTACGTGCTGCGTGGTAATTGGAGAAAAGAATCAAACTTCTCTCACGTGAGACAAGGCTTCACCTTTAAAAGTCGAATGACTTTTTATATGAATGTTAAATAGTAAGAAAAAACATATGAATGTTCTAATAGAACTTAGGTTTTGTTGGGGTTTTATTCTCTAGTTATGGTCTTGGGGTTGCGTTTTAACTTTAGTTGAGTTCGGATTTTCTGTTTGGTGAGGCTATGTTTTGAAGTTCTTGAGAAAACATAGATAAATGTGTTGTAAACACTTCTTCAATAATGGATTTGATTCAAATTCTCGCTGAGACGTACTTGATATCGCGCGAAAGGTATCGACAATGTTGTAATTTTGAGTCTGTTTGATATAGTTGTAAACACTTCTTCTATAATGTGAAGTAAATATGCTTCGGAACATGATATTTTAAAATCATTGAAAATGTAATGTTTAGAATACTATTCTTTTCAAAATATTAGTTAAATAACTTCGAATTTAATAAACATTTAATACGATTATATTATAATTATCAATAGCACTATAAAGTTGGATAAAGTTGCAGTGCCACCCGGCACGGCAGATTTGGGCGCTTTCACAGATTCCTACGGCTATGGGGATTTTTCCCACGGAATCTAATTTTGCGAATTTGGATCACTTATTCCGGAGAATACCTTCGGAATTTGATTCATCAGCATTACCATGGATTATTTGGTATATTTGGAAAGCAAGGAACGAAAAAATCTTTGAAAACATAGATACAGACCCCATAGAGGTATTACGATTAGCGGAAAAAGAGGCACAATTGTGGCAATCAGCTCAAGTTGACCTCCATAACGAAAATCATGGTTCTGTGGATTTGGTAAATCGAATTCGAGTGAGGGATGTTTCACTTGAATCGAATTATTCCGGATATCGTTGTCTTGTGGATGGATCATGGAAAGGAAGTGATAAGTTCTCCGGTACAGGGTGGTTCTGTACATCGTCAAATGGAGAGCCGCCAACCATGGGAGCTGCGAACCTCCGTAGAAGTCTATCTCCACTACATGCCGAAGTCGAGGCCCTTCTCTGGGCGATGAAGTGTATGATTGGTGCAGATAATCAAGAGGTAGCGTTCTTTACAGACTGTTCAGACCTGGTGAAGATGGTGTCTTCTCCAACCGAATAGCCGGCGTTTTCAGTGTATTTGGAGGAATTTCAAAGCGACAGGGAGGAGTTTTCATCTTTCTCTTTATCTTTAATTTCTCGTAGAGCTAATACTAAAGCGGATAATCTGGCACGAAAAGTTCGTACAGAACCGCTTCATATCACATATGTAAACAACATTCCTCAGGAATGGCTCTTTTGAGCTCTAATTAATTTTGGATGACAAAAAAAAAAAAAGAAATTAGTCCAAATGATTGGGTTAAATAGCCCTTTGATGTTTTAAGACAATTTAAAGATACAACTCTTACCAAATAACCTCCGGATTCTTGCGGATGATATGTAACACAAAGGATAATTCTCAAATTAAGGACCATTCATCTTTTAATATTTGGGTTGGTCTATATAGTATAATAAGATATTTCATTTTTTACAAAATTATTGTATAATCACAAGTACATTATACGATCGTACACAAGAAGGTGGGAGACAGTTGTGACGTGTGGCTATATTGACATTAAGACATTGACCAATTAAATCTTGACTCATACTAATCTCCACTTGTATACTTTAATTATTGTTTTATTTTTAGGTATTTTTTCCTTTTATTACATTTCTCCCATCTGCTATATCCTTTTTAAACTCATTTAAAATTTTGAGTTTTAGTATCATTTAAAAAAATCGAATAAGTTAAACATCCATAAATCAATCTACAAAATATATAAAACAGATGTGCAGTTTAATTTTTAAATCTGTAGGATTACAAAAATTGAACATCCATATTGTATTACAATTGTGGTTCTATAAAAATCTTCTGACGAAAAAAAAAAGAGATGGTCTAGTAGAATAGACTGATGATCTCCACTGACAATCCTATATCTAAATTCCCTTATAATAATAATAAATTATATATGTTTATATATATATATATATATATATATATATATATTTTATATGCAATAGTAGAAAAGAAAAAGATTATATACCCAAACATTCTTTCATTTTGTAACCCTACGTAATATTTTTAGATCTTGTGAAAGCATTTGATTTTTTTTTTTTTTTGAGAGACTGACATTTGATTAAGATAGCTCAATCTCATTGCGTTAATAATCAAAAGATAGAGAGATATCGACAGATAGATAAGTTAAATATTGGATATTGACCTGATTTTCGTGACTCTGATAACAATATTGCAAATGAAAAGTAAATATCTAAATTCATATGTTTTTGTACATCTTAGTTTGGTCATCCGTAAAATGTTTTTATTGTAAATAGAAATAGAAAGAACACTATGTTCTATTCCAATAAGAATTTATACTCCATAAGTAATGCATCAATTACATTTTGTTAGAATTTGCATAACTATTTTCAAAATTCCACACACACATAAATGTAGAGTAAATAGGTAATCTAAAAAGAGAAGCGAAGTAAATAACTTAACAAGAAAAAATGTATGAGTAAAAAGAACAACTAAATAAAAACATGAAATGAGTGTTGTAACGACCATGAGACTCATGAATACCACACAAGACAGTTAAAAAAGAGAGTGTATGTCATTGTGAAAAAAGGATAGGGTAAAAAGTCAACTATTTCAGTAGAAAAAAGTAAGAAATCTAAAGACAACTTTACAAAATACCATAGCAAAATAACATATCTACGATAAACAATGCAATTCCATAATGCTAATTGATTAAACAACTCAGAACAGAGAACATATGTAATGGGCAAAAAAAAAAACGTTTGGTTTATTATGTTATTTATCCATTTTTATTGTCAACGAGAAATTTGTTTCATTCTTACAAGAAAAATCATAAATGAAGGAAAAAAATAGTGGTAAAACATATTGATTTTTTTTTATTACTTATAAATACTAGCAATAATATAACTATTAGTAAGGTTTTTTATAAAAATATAAAAATATTTCTTTTGATAAAATAGTTTGTTTTCCATTTATAATTTAGAGTAAATAGTCGTATATAATTTTTTAAAAACAAAATTGAAAGTAGTGTTTCTACTTTTGGTCAACAACTTGTATTGTAATTATATTGTAACATACATTATACTACTTCTAGTAGAAACAAATTGTAATGGTAAGTGAATGTCTTTATTATTGCACCAATTATATTCAATATATATATATATATATATATATATATATATATTTGTCACATTCAATAAATAATTTTTTACTAGATTCTGAAAATCATAAATAAGAATTTATTAGTAAAGTTTTTTTTATAAAAATATAAAAATATTTCTTTTGATAAAATAGTTTGTTTTCCATTTATGATTTAGAGTAAATCGTCGTATACAATATTTTTTAAACAAAAAATTGAAAGTATTGTTTCTACTTTTGGTCAACAACTTGTATTGTAATTATATTTGTAACACAGTACATTATACTACTTCGAGTATAAACAAATTGTAATGGTGAGTAAATGTCTTTATTATTGCACCAATTATATTCAATAAATATATATATTTTCAATTTTTTTGTCACATTCAATAAATATTTTTTACTGGATTCTGAAAATAATAAATAAGAATTTACTAAAGAATGTCCTTTTGGTCAACAACTCTCTCTCATACACACACAGAGACACAGTCCCTAAAGAAACAAATTAAATTCCTAGGTTGCCCTTTTATGCCCACATTCTGAATATATCCCACATAGACAACAAGACACAAATGGAAACCCCACTCATCACTTTTTTGTATTTTTCCTTCTTTACAATCATAATAACAAAAGTAAATATATAAATTAAATTAACATAAAACACATTTCATGTCTTTCACTCACTCATTTATTAACACTTTCACACAATTATCTACTTTAAAAAACCATTTAATGATTTAGTACTAAATTTGTGAGCTGCTTTGCTTATGTCATGAATGATTTCCCCTCTTAATAGTATTTATATGGGTGGGTTAGTTCATAACACGAATTATACCATCCAATGATACCAAATTTGAAAGCCTTTTAACAAAAAAAAATGATACCAAATTTGATTACGTGGAATAGTTGATACTATAAAATAGTAGAACAATATTATAATCATATAAATTATATTTTTTTTATTAAATTAAGAAAAAGAGGAAACAGACGAAGACCTCTTCCACACAAGAACCCAACAATTTACTCAAAAAACAGAAAAATATGAAAACAGGAGACATCCAAAACAATTTATAAAAAAAAATTATAATTTTTTTTTTTTAAAAAGGTGTTACAATAATAATAATATATAGTATTAAAAAATACCTTTATGGAGAGCGTGAGATACACGTACCAATGAGAGTGAAGTGAGAGACTAAAACAACCAATGCTTTGTTTCCGTTCTCGTACGACGTGGGACTCTGGTCTCACCTTGTTCCTATCAAACGTTTCATTCAATGTTACAAATTTTTTTAACTCCACGCGCTTCTCTTACGCGCGTGAGATTCACTTTTGTCTCCCTTATTTTCTTCTCCTCTCTCCCTCTCTCTCTCTACTGTCTCTTTCTTTCTTCTTCTTCCTTTTGAAATTTCTCAGTCTCTTAAAAAAGAATCGAAAGAAACTATCAGTGTGAGAGCAAAGCAGAGCAGAGAGAAGAAAAAATACTCTTTTTTTATAGGAGAAGCAAAAAAGAGATAAACTTTATTTTTTTTCTTTTTCTGATCTCTGTCATGAGATATCGCCGGAGTTATCTCCGACCACCGGTGGACTTTCCCGGCTGAAAATTCTACACTTTTTCGTATAAAACAACTAAGAATCAACTAAACCCTTCTCAGAAAAAAAAAACTTCATTCTTCTTTTTCAATTTCCATTTTCCGGGAAAGTTTTCAAGAATCCGAGAAAAATTCTCTTCATTTTCACTACTCTCAGCTTAATTTCATTCAGGGTTTTGTTTTAAGTTTTTGAATTTACAATGGCGACGACGACAAACGCAACAACGGCGACACAACAGCAAACGCAAACGCAATCACCATCGCAACAACCACCATTACCGTCGGCAGAAGAATTAGCAACAAAGGCGTTACAAAAGCGTTACGAAGGATTAATGATGGTAAGAACAAAAGCAGTAAAAGGCAAAGGCGCGTGGTATTGGAGTCATCTTGAACCAATCTTACTTCACAACACCGACACTGGTTTCCCTAAAGCCGTTAAACTCCGATGTTCTTTATGCGACGCCGTTTTCTCTGCTTCGAATCCTTCACGAACTGCTTCTGAGCATCTTAAACGTGGAACTTGTCCAAATTTCAACTCTTTACCTAAACCCATCTCCACAATCTCTCCTCCTCCACCACCTCCGCCGCCGCAAACGACGTCTTCTTCTCACCGGAAACGTAATTCCTCCGCTGTGGAAGCTCTGAATCATCATCATCCTCATCATCATCATCAAGGGTCTTATAATGTGACTCCTCTCAGTGTTGTTGATCCGTCGAGATTCTGTGGGCAGTTTCCGGTTACGCAGCAGCCGCATTTGATGCTCTCCGGTGGAAAAGACGATTTGGGTCCATTAGCTATGCTTGAAGATAGTGTGAAGAAGCTTAAGAGTCCTAAAACTTCGCAGACGCAGAATCTAAGTAAAGCTCAGATAGATTCTGCGTTAGATTCTCTCTCTGATTGGGTTTTTGAATCTTGTGGCTCTGTTTCTTTATCTGGTCTTGAGCATCCAAAGTTGAGAGCTTTTTTGACGCAAGTTGGGTTACCGATTATCTCAAGGAGAGATTTTGTTACCGGAAGATTGGATTTGAAGTATGAGGATTCGAGAGCAGAGGCTGAATCGAGAATCCACGACGCAATGTTCTTTCAAATCGCTTCTGATGGATGGAAATTCGAAAACTCCGGCGAGAATTTGGTGAATTTGATTGTGAATTTACCTAATGGGACGAGTTTGTATAGACGAGCTGTGTTCGTGAACGGAGCTGTGCCGTCTAATTACGCAGAGGAGGTTTTGTGGGAGACGGTGAGGGGTATTTGTGGAAATTCACCTCAGAGATGTGTTGGAATTGTTTCAGATAGGTTTATGAGTAAAGCATTGAGGAATCTTGAGAGCCAGCATCAATGGATGGTGAATCTCTCTTGTCAGTTTCAAGGTTTCAATAGTTTGATTCGAGATTTTGTGAAAGAGCTTCCTTTGTTTAAATCCGTCTCTCAAAGCTGCTCGAGGCTCGTTAATTTCGTCAACAGCACGGTGCAGATCCGAAACGCGGTTTGTAAGTATCAGTTGCAAGAGCAAGGAGAGACTAGAATGCTGCATTTGCCTTTGGATAGTTCCTTGTTTGAGCCATTGTATAATCTTCTTGAGGATGTGCTTAGTTCCGCTAGAGCGATTCAGCTGGTGATGCATGATGAGGTGTGTAAGGCTGTTCTAATGGAGGATCATATGGCTAGAGAGGTTGGTGAAATGGTTGGGGATGTCGGGTTTTGGAACGAGGTAGAAGCGGTTTATTCGTTGTTGAAGCTCGTTAGAGAAATGGCTCGGCGAATAGAGGAAGAGAGGCCTTTGGTAGGGCAATGTTTGCCGCTTTGGGACGAGCTGAGATCGAAGATAAAAGATTGGTATGCAAAGTTTAATGTAGTTGAAGAGAGGCAGGTTGAGAAGATCGTTGAGAGAAGATTCAAAAAGAGTTATCACCCGGCTTGGGCTGCAGCGTTTATACTTGATCCGCTTTACTTGATAAGAGACCGCAGCGGAAAGTATCTTCCTCCATTCAAGTGCTTGTCGCCAGAACAAGAGAAAGATGTTGATAAGTTGATAACAAGGCTTGTGTCTAGAGACGAGGCACATATCGCGATGATGGAACTGATGAAATGGAGAACCGAAGGGCTTGATCCGGTTTATGCAAGGGCGGTTCAAATGAAGGAGAGAGACCCTATTTCAGGGAAAATGAGGATAGCTAATCCACAAAGCAGTAGACTTGTTTGGGAAACTTATCTTAGTGAGTTCAGGTCATTGGGGAGAGTTGCAGTTAGGCTTATTTTTCTCCATGCAACTTCTTGTGGGTTCAAATGCAATTCCTCTGTTTTGAGATGGGTAAATTCGAATGGAAGATCACGCGCAGCCGTGGATCGAGCTCAAAAGCTGATCTTTATATCCGCCAATTCAAAATTCGAAAGGAGAGACTTCTCAAACGAGGAAGAGAGAGACGCAGAGCTGCTCGCTATGGCTAATGGCGAAGATGATGTGCTAAACGATGTTCTCATCGATACATCCTCGGTGTGACTTGTTAATTTTTACTTCTTTTTTCGGTTACTTTTCTGGCTTACCCCATTTAGTTTTCACTAGAACTTGGCCATTTTGTAGGATTGCTTGAATTCATTTTTTTACCACCCTTAATTTAATTTGTAATTGGTTCCTTTAGGAGGTGAGAAGAGAGCCATATCATTGTATTTCTTTTTAGTCTATTTCGATCATAATTTTAGGCGATTTTTCCGTGTCTTTTTTTTTCGAACTTAAGCAATGATCTTGAGACTAGTTTTGGAATTCATGAATACAAGTTACTCTTGTAAAGTTCTTGTCTTTATCATATTTCCATTAGAAGTTTCATGTTTCTGCACCAATTTGGCTTGCGTAGCAATGAATTCTTAATGTGAATCGGCTTCTCTTGTCGTGATCATCATCAATCTATTGGTTCAAAAGGTCCAAGCTTGTAGTTAAGATCATTAATGGCATCAACAGAAGATTCAACGACAGCTTCATCTTCTCTTATCGTACATTGTAATGATCTCTTTTGTTCTGTTGTTCTTTTGTTCTTTTTTCATTAACGTTAATATTCTTAATCATGACTCAAAACAATGTCTTTTCCATTTCAAGAAATTGACTTAATAAACCATTTTCTTTTTGAACATTTTTCACGTTCTTCCTTCATCATAACATGTTAGTCTCTATTGATGTCGAGGACGAAAGATGTAGACCTTTTTGTCACCCAAGAACTGAACCGGTTTTCGGGTTTTCGCTTTCACTTCAAAGATGTATCTAACTTATCAATCTATCGAGTAGTTTCTTAAAATCTTTTCTCAAAAAATGTGGATCCCCACAAGGAAAGCAAATTTAGTGGGAGGTTCTTGCATCAAAATCATAGCTTTTTGATGGTATATTGAAGCTTTGAAAGTGAAACTGTCAAAGTTGGAAGAACAATCTTAAAACTTTAAACACAAAATCCAAAACCCGGTCTTATTTTTTTCTTGAGGATTACAAAAATGTGATTTGATTTTCATGAATAAATCCCCAAGATTCGATTCTTGAAGATTTTGTAACATTAGGTGTCTTTTTGTGTGTTTACCCCATGATTTGTACTGTGAATGGTAAAAAAGGTTAAATCTTTCGTCCTTTTTGCCCAAACTCATGATTTGTACTATATGTTTTTTTTTGGTAACAAAAATCAAATCTTTTTGGTGCAAACCCATGATTTTACACTCTTGTAAATAATATGGTAGTAAAAGAAAAAAAAAGTCAAGAACTGTTGTTCAAAAAAAGTTTTACATCTTTTGACATGCAAATCTAACCTCCAAAATATTCATCATAGATTTATCAAATAGTACTGAACTTTGAAATTTTGGTGGTAAATAAATCATAAATGGACAGACTGGAGAGCTAAAAGTGAAATTACACAAATTAAGTAACAACAGAACCACCAACAAATAATAATTAAAATATTTATAAAGTATAGAAAACACATTGATTTTGGATGGTGTTTTGCCAGACAAATAGATAAATCTAAGTACTCTCTCTCTCTTTTTTGTGTGACAATTTGACAATGCCTTGTCATCAACCATTTTCTTATACATATGCATCTATTATAATATGAAATTAATATATATCAACTTGAAAGTGCCGAAAATAATTGTTATTGAGATTTGAGTGCATGGAAATTGGTTTGCTTTTAAAAATATTCATCAAGGAATCATTTTTACTTACCAAAAGGAGGGGTAAAAACACCAAAAAAGTATATATCAATAAATATACCCCACAAACAGCATATTATAATGACAAAGAATACACTTTATTTTTGTTTTGATAACTTTATATTTGATTGGTATTAGATTCATCTTACCCACCTCCATTAGCTGTTGATTGCAAGAAAATTCAAAACTCATACTACTACATACAATAAAAGTTTGATTAAAAAGTAAATTGTCTCAGTTTTTATACAAAGACATTAATATTATGAACTTCTATCCAATTGTATTTTCTGTTTTAAACTTTTTAGTTGAAGTTTATTTTAAAATACCATCAGTTTAAGAAAAAGAAAAAATTCCATTAAGAGAAAGCATGCTCATAACTTCTTCCATTTCAGTTTCCAACCCAAAAGATGATGTAAAAATGGTTTATTGAATTAAAGGAATATCAGCATTTCAGAGAATTTTTGCTTTAAACTCTCATTTTTGTAATTTAAAAAAAAAAACTATGATATTTTGAAACTGTTTTGACAAAACAAAGTTAATCGATCACGAATTAATTATTAGAAAATAAAATAAATCAAGAACATAAGCACAAAAGATTCTAGTTTTTTTTTTTATGTGAAACATATATTTATATTATGTTTGTATATTTTACATTCATCCTTTAAAAATAAAGATATATAAACTTACATGAAAAGTGTTTAAATAAATGTTTTTCTTGAGAAGATTTAATTTTTAAAGAGGAAAAAGTTAAGCATTACATTTTTTTATTGCTAAAGTAAGCATTATATTTTTTATACTGTCAAAATGTAATGAAGAAAATGAAAATGCGAGCATTACACTTTTGACATTATAAAAAACAGTATATCATCATAATTAATCAAAATTCCAGGGTATATCCGATGCAAAAAAAAAAAAATTGCTTCTTGAATTCGTATGCAATTTTATGGACTAAGTTCATACATTTATGACATAAAAACAGTATTACTAAGGTAAAAAATATTTTAAAATGCGTAGACGCCAAAAGAAGAAGTGAAAAAGTTACAACTTCAAAAAAGTAGTTGGAATTATTGATTTGGTATTTTGGTGGTAAGACAGAATTTCCTGTCGGCAAATGCTGACTTCTCACCAAATCTTTCTCTCTCTCTAATTATTTGAATATTTTTAAAACATTTAAATTAATTTGATTTTAGTGTAAAAAGTTTTTAAAAAGTTTTTTTTTTTTTTTGTGAACAAAAAGTTTTTAAAAAGTTAAAAAGAGAAAATTATAATGATATGGTAGAGGACAATATTTTTTTAATACACAAGAATCTCGTCCTCTCCCAATGCTTCCTCATCATTATACAAAATTACAAAAATTCCATTTTAAAGTAAAAATAAAATAAAAAATAAAGTAGATTCTTTTTCCTTTCACATGTTTTATTAAATTTTTATAGTACTAACTTTTATATTGACTATTAATGGTATATGTATCTGGCAATTTTTCAACAGCTAATGAGATTTGGTTTTAAATAGTAATCGCTTCCCCGGATTATTGTAATACTCCCTCTGTCCCATTTTATAAGATGTTTTGTGTAAAAGCACAAAGATTAAGGAATAATTAATGTTTACATTTTTATAAGAATTTAGCCAATAGAAAAAAAGACTGCAGAATTTAAATGGTCATAACATACTAAATAAACATAAATTAAGCATAGAAATCTGGGAAAATCTTATAAAATGAAACAAAGAAAAAATGCTAAAACATCCTATAATTTGGGACAGAGGGAGTATTACTTTTTAATTGCTTGAATTAATGATATGCATGATTATGTAGTAGAAATATGAAGAAAATAGTGGCTACATATATATATCTAGTTTCATTACGTGTTACATTAAATTATACTTTTAAGTTTGTTTCGCACTGCAAATTACTTAATCATTGTTTACCAGATTGAATAATGGCATACTATATACAATTACATAAGTTTGATGATAATGCTAATGACTTTGACATGTGGCACGATTAGTAGAGATCATTGCTCTCGCGTATGGTAATTTACATAGAGATTATTCTTTTTTTTTTTTTTGAAAAAATGTAAAAATATATTCAACCAAAAAAAATCCTTGTTACAACTTACAACATAGAGATTATTCATTATCAACCATTTTTCTATATAAGAAAATTATCAATCATATCTAATTTTCTTTAACAGAATTAAAATAAAGTCAATTAAAACGTAGAAAATGTCCCTTAATTTATACAAAAACTAGAAATCGAAAATTTAATTTTTGTCATGTTTCTAATTCCATTAAAAAAAGTATAATCATATTGGTACACTACAAGAAAATAGTGATTTTGCAACATATTTTTTGTAACGTTCTTTTTCGTTAAAATTCTGCAATAAATTTTGCAATATTTTTGCAATGATAAATACATGTCACAATTTTATTGTAAATTCATTGTAAAATTACGACACATATTTTTGTAGGAAATTTGCGTTACTAATTTGCAATTTTTTTACAACGTGTATAAACTTTCTTGCAAATTTTACGAGAAACATCTAACGATATTGATTCATTGTTTTTTTGCAAGAAAATTATAGTACAAGGACGTGACACATGATTTGTAACTATATTTGCAATAATTTAAGTAACACTTTGCAACATTTACTTTATACACAAACTTTGAAACTACATTATCGAATCTTTGTAGCTCACTTAATAGCAAAACATAATTAAACTATAGGTGATTCAGTTAATTTTTGGGTCAATGAGCTCAAAGATGTGATAATTTGGCATTTTTTTTTTCATTGACGTCAAATCATTGTATAACTCCAGATTTTGGGATATGATTCTCTTAACAAATTAGATATTATATCGTTTTATTGTTATATATATGTATATGCCTTTTTCCATTTTAATTAGATTTAAGATCTTAAAATCTTATGATTAGGTAATGGTATCTTAACAACTTTCTAAGCCATCAAATTCATCGAAGCTAAGATAAAAGCTTGAGTTTCCTACACTAGCTAGCAAGCCCAACAAAAAATTAAGCTTCCGTAGATTAGACTTCTTAGTTAGAATAAGACATAGTTATTGTTAGGTATAAGACACCACCATGAACGGCGGCAAGATACTCAAGAACGGCGTATCCTCCGATCGATGTCATAACCGATTTGCTTTTTGAACCACTTTCTCCAGCACCCTTTCTCATTTTCCGGTAGTTTTCATTGTCAGAATATTGATAATGATTCTTATTAAAAGCTTATAAAGTTTGTTGTGTATTGGATTGGCAATTTATCCTTTAATTGTTTGGTCGTTTTATTGTTTATATGGCATCGGTGGAGAGAATTTGACTAATGGAAGTGGAAAAAGCTGGAAAAGTGAACCATATGGACATTGGAGATTGATCAGATGCATTTCTTAGTTCATCATTATTGTGTACCCTCTCTTTCCATAACTAAGGTGACAAAAGCAATACCTACTTTTGAAATTGTATATATTGTATTTTTATTTATAATGTTGTATGAGTTTCCTTTAGTTTAGTGTTAACTCTTTTCTTTTAGTAAATAAATTCAGATGAATCATATGACATTTAACGATCCATTGTTGGAGAAGATCTTTCAAAATATTGCAGAAATCAAGGAAGTAAGGAACGATCACAAAACTTGAAGTATTGGATATGAGGGAGATCATTAGTTTTCTTTTATCT